TCACAAATGGTGATGTTAAGATGCTGCTAACATTTGGAGTTTGGTAGTCTAATTTGTAGCATCAGAAACACCCTTTGATAATGACCTCTCCATGGGGAGCTGGGGATCGAACCCCAGACCCTGAAGCCACAGGTCGCAGTGTCCTTTGGCAAGACGCTGACCCCTGAATTCCAGGATCATCAGTGTGTGAATGTGACATGTAGTGTAAAAGCGGCTTTACGTAGGCTAGAAAAAGCACTTCACAAGTCCAAATACCATTTATTTCTAAACAAAGTGCATCGCTGTTTAAATGAGTCGATTGTGCTTAAAGTCAGTCAGAGCTATTGGGAGATTTTGTAAATTAATCCATCACTCTTCATTCATTAAAAATAACCAGTGGGGAAAGAGAAAAACGTTGTTCAATCTGTGACTTTTAATGACTTTTAATAATCAATCACCATGAAGTGCAGATCTGGTCCTCATCAATGGATAATTATTATTAATAAGTGAACATTGACATTATTTATGCACACTGGGACTGAACTGTAATACTTCAGTGCTTTTCCTGTAAGTCAGGAGCCACTGCCAAAGCTTTGGTTTTCTCATCTACGCCCTTTGAAGTGCAGCATAGCATCTACCATCCAAGCAGTCTAACGCCACGTGTCTCTCAGGACAGACAGTCAGCAGGTTTTTTTTTTACCTACAGCTGCACACTCCTGCAGACCGTTTTACTGATTAACAGGACTTTAACAGCGGAGGAGAAAGTAAGCAGCAAGCTTCAATGAAAACGTCTCTCTTCTTGACAGATAGTTAAAGATCTCTTCTGTGGGTGAGTAGTGCTTTAAAAAACAACCTTCTTGATTTGAGTAAGATTAGGAAGAAATAAAAGCAATTGTAGGCAGTGAAAGTAAAACACACACACACACACTCACACACACACACACACACACACTCACACACTCACACTCTTACTGTCTCTGAGGGAAAACAAATCTGGCTTTCTTTTTTAATTACCGCTGGAAGAGTATGAGCTAGCTTTGGTTCAATGACTCAAAAAATCTCTTGTGAAGCTATTCATAGCAGCAGCTGTTTGAAACAACTGGGGGGGAAAAAAACCTGTTTAATGTGTGCATAATTTCTCAACACAGCTGTAGGAGGTTTGAATACGCACACATGAAGGGACTGCTCCTGTTCTGCACGATGGTCCAACCCTCTCTGGCCTCTATGATGATGGGCATGATCCGGATGTTGTGTTGATAGTGGAAGTGCTGGGGAATGTTTTCCTTCTTGTACACCAGCATATTCTGGTTCGCATCCACAAGCTTATCGTACACCTCTTCAAGCTTTGCTGCAAGAAACAATGACAAACAATTTAAGAGAGGGACCACAGATAAAGGCAAAATGAGGATTTCAGGAAAACGACCAAATTATGAAAGAATGTCAGAGTGATAATTACAAATACGATCTTATCGATGTTAAATAACAAGTTAAAGAAATATGAATCAAAAAGTAAATTGGTCTAAGCGGATTAGCTAAGTCCAACATGACATTTTTATTTCTTTAATATGATGCTATATCCGGCAGCAGGTTAGCTTAGCATGGCTAAGAAGTCACTGCACCCGACCTTGGGTGACCATACGTCTCGATTTGACCGGGACCATCACGTTTTCAAGCTCTGTTTCCCCAGTCCCCACAAATATTTATAAAACACTATTATGTCCCGCTCTTGAACAGTCCCTTTCCCGGTTTTAACCAACCAAACGATACACCATGCTAACAACACTGATTTGTTTGTATATATGTCAATCAATGTTGTTGCCAAGGCTGTTGTTGTTTTAACCAATATAAGAACATCACTAATGCACCCCAAGTCAAAGTTCAACACTGATTCGTCTGTTCATGCGTCAATAAATCTCGGAGTTGCAACTGATGTTTAACTAGCCCAGCTAGTCACATTAACCTTTGACCTGCATAACAACAGGTAGGCGAGCTGTCGTGCTGGAAAAGGAAGTCAGCGTCTCCCAAAGAGCTCCAGGAGAGTTCTAACTTCCTTCCAAAGATGACCAGGCAATGAATATGCTGCGTTTTGTACACAGCAAGTATCCATTTTTAGTCACCTTCAGTGGAAATGCAGACATTCAAAGCCATATTTTCTAGATCCTTGTGTTGTACTTACTCTCTGATGTACGTCGCTTTGGATAAAAGTGTCTGCTAAGTGAATTGTAGAATATTAAAAGAAGCAAACACAAATGGTGAGTACAGGCTGAATGTAGCTCTGGTTTGATCTACTTCAGTGAGGAACAGTTCTGCATAGTATTAAGGCTGGAAATAGGAATGTAAAATATATATATCTGTACATATATATATTTATCAAACAGCCATGAGAGTAGTATCAATCCAGACAGAAAACAATTTCTCAAATAGTGTACTACTTTAATCTTGGTCATCGACAATGTGCTCTCACTCTGATCTGATGTTTTAAATTCATACCGTCTTTAGGCAGTATCCCCACCACCGGACTCTTATCCACCCAGGTGTACAGGTCTCTGCTCACATACTGATCCAGCTCTATGATTTTATCGGGGGAAAGCTGCGCCATCCCGTGATCACTGGTCACGATCAGGTTCACTTTCTCATACAGCCGTGCCTTCTTCAGCTCGTTTATGAGGAATCCGAGCTTCTCGTCGATCCCGTAGATGACTTTGTCCATCTGGGTACTCTGAGGTCCCAGTTTATGTCCGCTCTCATCTGGCTCCTCCCAGTACAGAACCCCGAAATCCACCGCTTCTTCTTCGGGTGCAGAGAACCACTTGATAATCTGCTCCACTCTGGATTCAAAGGAGACTGAGGCATTGTACTGGAGGTACTTATTGGGGTACATGCCATGGATCCTCACATCGGACCCTGGCCACATCGCTGCTCCGCTCCGCCCTCCAGCTTTCTGGATGGTCACCCAGAGAGGCACTGCTTGCTCCCACCACCGTGAATCATATATACTGTCCGTCTCCATTGAGAAGGAGCGGTTCAGAACAGGGTCGTACATCTCATTGGCCACGATGCCATGCGACTCGGCGTACAGCCCCGTCACCAAGCTGTAGTGGTTGGGGAGGGTCTTGGTGATGTACGCGTTCTCTACATGCTCCACCTTCACCCCCTCTTCAATGAGTTTGAGGAAGTTAGGTGCTGGGACCCGGTAGATGTAATCCCAACGAAATCCATCAAAGGAAACGAGCAGCAGTTTGGGCCGGTCCTTCACGTTGTGCTCCCTGCGGCCATGTTGGTTGAGGCGATGCAGGGAGGCCAGAGGAAGAAGCAGGACCCAAACCCAGAAGAGAGGACCGCAGCCTCCTCGCAGCAAACAGCGCAGCATCGCGTTGTGGGATTTGACAGCCTGCAATTACACAGAAACAGCTTCAGAAGAACTCAGTAAGAGGGAGCATTTAACCCTGTATACCTAGAAAAAGGTATATTAACAGACTAAATATGTTTAAGGCCTGTTTTGGTAGTTTAGCCTGCACTGCCTTGTTCCAGTTAAGATAGATCAGTAAGCTTGATCTGTAAAACAATGCTTTAATACAAAGTTATTTTCATCAATTGAGAGCAGACGCCTTTTATGTTGGAAAAACATGTAACGATACAATTTTTACAAGATCGAAATGTGTACTTCCTGTCTACTTGCTTATTGTTTCAAAGCTCATTCAGCCGTGTGTCAACCTTTATGGTGGTCACCGTTTTGGTCTTAATAACGTTAGAGTCTGATCAGCTGCATATTCACGACAATAACTTTTGCCATGGACATCAAACAATGAAATGAGTGCTTATTCAAACTCGGTTGAAACCTGACACTCGTTTGTCATTGTTTAAAGTCAAATAATGCCTCTGAATCAAAAATGTGATGATAGTCGTAATTTTTTAATATTTGCACAAATGGTCGAGCAATGAACACTGATCAAGATCAGAGCCAAGACAAATATTTGAATAATTAATGAGCAGGAAGAAAGATGACATCTTATTTTGAGCAGTATTAACTCATTTCAGATTATTTTAAATGAGAAAATGTCTCAATTTGAAAGTGATCTGATTTACCTCTTTAATTACAATGTCAATACAAAAGCTTTGGGTGATGCACTTTCAGACAGACACAACTACCAAACTAAAGATTTCACCCTGCCATGCTTTTTTTTTTCCAGACATTAAAAAAAATAAAAAAAATATGAATCATGTTTTCCACATTACAAAGTTTAAAATAACGAAAACAATTAACTTGAGCTCTTCTGTCAATATTAGTTCACGATCACCTGAGTTAAATAAAGCCTTAAAAGATCTATCCCCAATACCGAGCAATGAAAGGTTTGTTCCCTGAAATGATGAAGATCATTATGACATATCCAGGTCTATTCTCTGTAACACATTAGCTCTTAATACAGATCAGGAAAAGCGATGATGTCATTGGAAATTCAGCAGAGTGTGGATAAACCGATTGTAATGCAAGAGCGACAGAAGTTTAAAATAATTAATAACAGCCCTCCACCAGACCGTCTGCCACATTAATAAGGAAATATAGGGATTAGCAAATGCTGCAGAGCTAACAGCTCAAACACGCACTTCTGTCTGCAACAATACAACAAAGGCACAAAGCGGCGTGAGTGCAGAAACTGGCATTACTGTAATAAAATGTACAAATAATCATGCTGTCAACAAGCTCACCTCGTTATCTGATCCTGCACTGGCTCGTCTCGAAGCTGTACGCAGAGATTAAAGGCCCTGACGCGTTTATGTCTGGAGGAAGTCCCGCCCTTTTTTCCCCCCCTACTCTATGTTTTGTTTTTGTTTTTTACTTTATTTCTGTCGCGTTTACAGACAGACGAGAGACCAAACTAGTCCATCTGAACACAAAAAGGCTGCTTGGTCTTTCCGGCAAGTGCATGCTTCGCTTCGTGCAGAGCTGCTTCCCCAGGATTCACTACGACGTGCAAGTGCACCGGTCCTATGACGTAATCATGTAGGGTGAGGGCGTGGGGGGGTCACTTTATAAATAGACATCTTGCTGTCATTCTTATTATAAAACTAGTTTTCAATTTAAATGTGAAATTAAATCAGATGTCTTGTTAATAGGTTCAATGTAATGGTTATTACATTTGAATATGTGGCAGCAGAAGAAAAAAAAAACTTCCAAGAATAAAATAAATAATAAAATAATGCTCGATACTAGACTATAAATAGTGACATTCAAAGACATACTTGCCCTAATTCTGTCAACTAGTTGTTGTTTTTTTTTTTACAATGCTGAAAGTGTATTGCAATTGACACCTTGAAAAGTCGATGACTAATGTTGTCCACTAGGTGTCAGTCAAGTTCTTTCCAAAAAGTCAGAGCGATTTTCTCTTTAGTTAAACAAAGATGGCATCTCAATAATGACGCTGCATGGTGAGAGTGAGACTATTATATATGACCTACAGACAAGCTCTGACTTTGTAAAGAGAGAGAGAGAGAGATTTATTATATATGACCTACAGACAAGCTCTGACTTGGAAAGAGAGAGAGGGAGATTGGTTTGCTTTTTGTCTTTTAATTCACTTTTGCTGGGAATATTCATCTTTATTATTCTGATTTAGGAACACCATTGAGAGCTCAATAATTTGTGATGAACTTTGATGTCAGTGTTATGAAATGTTTCCAGAGATAGGAGTAAAGACAATATAGCTACTCCGTCTGCTAATGATCATGGGACATAATGTACAGCCTGAGATGAGATTTGATATGAGATAAGACATTTTAGGGCTATCTATAAAGCACCTTTTAATTCAAGGTAAGCTTAATGAGCTTCACATTGAGGGTAAAAACATGAAAATAAATCATTCCTGCAGTCATGAATACGATGCAGAAATTAAATTAATCCATTAGACACACCACATGGCAATCAAACACACAACAAGAATGAAGGTAATCAAATAAAAACAGAGAGAAAAAAAGGTGCATATACAACTGCACACACGCATACACAGAATCACTTTTTATATGGTCAGGAGGACAAATAGGTTTTGAGTTAAGCTTTAAAGGTTGAGACAGTTTGTTCCAGAGAGAAGGACCACAGTAACTAAAGGCCCCCTCACCAGACTCTGCTCTAACTCCAGGTACTGCTGAAAGACCTCCACCTGATCACCTCAGGTTAACTCAATATGACACTTTCTTGTCATTTGCAGCAGAAAAGGAACTTTTCAATCTCTCTATGGATTCTAATGTTACTTGGGTTTCTTTTGCTGCTTGGTTCCTTCATTGTTTTGTTTGCTATTGTTGTTGTTGTTTGTGTTCTTTTGCATTTAGCTTCTTATGTTGGTTCGGCTTTTTGGTTGTTGATTGAGTTGTTTTGTAATTCTGTTATTATGCTTTGGACTTATGTATGATTCTGTTTGTATGGCAAAGCACTTGTTTTTCAAGGTTTTATATAATAATAATAATGATGGCAAATGATGATGAGGATAATGATTATTATTATTATTGTTGTTGTTGTTGTTCTTTTCCATACAATTGTCATAGCTGCAATACAGGGCCTAAGTGGACTTTGGTTTATGGGAAAGTCAGTGCTTCCCACTGACCTAATAAAAAGCATTACATAGTATCTTTCAAACAATGTCATTCATTCTTCATCGATCTGGTTGCGTATGATCATCTTAGAATCTTTTCCAAGGAAAACTGATGTTGTTTCAGAAGCTCACTCAATGTCTGCATGACAGGGATTTTATCACACACCACAAATAATGCAAGTTTTCCATGATCACATCCAAATGATTTTGATTACACAGCCTAAACATAAAGTATTCAACAAAACATTCTTGACTAAATTTACAGACTTGTGAATTTGATGTGCAGTTTTTTACATTTAAGGCAGGCTAAGAGAAAAAATGGTTAAAGATTCTCAACACATTCCATAACCAGCCCTCAGTGGATACAAGGCACATATGACACAGTGGAGCCAGGCCATTATGAGCTTCTTACACGGTAAAAAAGAGTCTTTAAATCTTCACAGACTCTCACGTGATGCAGCCTGTGGAGACATCATATTCTGTAAAGCTCCACAATTTCTGAATTCATTTTGATCAACATAAGAAAGTCAAACAAAAAGGCACTTCAGTGGCTTAGTTAAATTGACAAATCATCAAACTTTGAATGTTGAATAATTTAGTAAAGAAAGCTATAATAAAGGTTTATCTTAAGAGGCTGACAGAGCAAGGACATGACTTTTTTAGTTCACTGTGAGAAATTTTGAGCCAGACATAAGAAAACATTATCCATGCATTTGGCCAGTAAATGAAATGTGTCATTACTTTCACCATTTTATTCCAACAAATATTATTATTTATTATTTATTTTTTTCCGACCCATAGGTCCATATCATCATTAAAAAGCACAAGAAATATAAATACAGGACATCAACGAAGGGATGAAATCACTACAGTTCACAATTTGTCAGTAATTCAAATACCAAGAGACATTTGCACCAGTGTACCTAGAAACACGAGGAATACTTTGTGTGACTGAGTGTGGGCTGAGTGACAGACATCATGATTACATTTTCTCAATCAATTAATCCACACATTTATAAATAACATTTCTCAATACAGTATAAAGTGTGCAGACATTATTGGTAACAAACATTTGACCTGCACTCATACAACATAATGCATCATTCTAATATCACAAAGTCTTGTATATTCAAACATAAAGTTATTTCTAAAAATATAACAACAATCTATTTCAAAGGCATATGTCATGTTTATTCTCAAAAAGGTTTTTGCTTATGGCCTACTGCTCTGGGATGAGACTGGTTCCGGTTTCTTCTAAGTGTATAATTCATTTTAGCAAAGTAGCTCTGTTGGTGACAATGTTTGTCATTCAATCATTCAAACCGCTTCAACCTCAAATGATCTCAACCATAGATAGAATATGATGACATTTGGCACAGATGTTCATGGCCTTCAGTGGATGATTTGTACTAATTTTAGTAATACTTAGTTTTCATCCCCACCAGCAGGTTAGCATTAGCATTTTATTGTAAAATATATTTAGAAAAGTCACAATATGAAGAAAACTGACAATCGTGATTCTCATATAGGTCTGTTGATGACTGCTCACCTCCTCGAGCTCCATCACCAACGTTCAGTTCTTGTACTTATGAGCCCCGTAAGCCTCATAACTAATGGTGTTCACCTCGCCTCACCTTAAGTTTGAAGTTAAATAGCAAACGTAAACATGCTACCATGCTTATTTAGATGGTAAACATTATAGCTACATGTTAAACAGTTGCATGTAAGCCTTGTCAATGTGAGCATGTTAGCATACTGGTGTTATCATTTAGCTCAAGGCAGCCTCACAGAGTTGTTGGCATAACAGCAGACTTGTTTCATTATTATGTTTTAAAAGTGAAACTGTTATGTATCATCAGTCAAAAATAAGCACCTCAGCCGAAGCCAGTAGAAATGTCTAAAGAGTTGAAAGAAGGGAAAACATAAAAAAGAACGATGAATCATCCTACAAGTGATGTCCGTTTGAAAAATAACTCTAAGGGCTTATTTTCAGCCTGGACCCCTTTTATGTCTTTCTTTTATGTATGTATATGAGCTATACATGTTCCTCATTGTGTCCCCCCCCTCATTCAGCTGACTGTGTGGATCTATGTGGGAACAGTGGAGCAGCCGTCAAGCTAACCTGCTCCTGTGTGTTCTGGGTTCGCTCGGGTATTCACATCCATGTAGTGATGGAAGGTTTTGTTTGTTTAGGCAGGAACGCTCTGTCCATTGTCAGATGTGCAGCTTTATACCATGTACATGTGTCTATTGTGATGTTACACAAGAATGTCATGACCGCTTTTGTTGAATTCTTTGTAGAATGTCTTTTTTGGCATTGTGTGTTACGAACGGTGTGACGTTTGGTGTGACATATGTTCCTAAATATTGGAGAAAGTAGTGAGGGCCATTGTTTTGAGTCATTTTCTAGATTGGGTTGGTTAAATGTACTCACCACTGGATTCAACGAGTCTTACTATGGTTTGTGTAAATACATAATCAAAAAGTTCCTCTGGTTAAAAGCACCATTGTGAATATGTGTCAAGCTTTTTAATTTTAAAAAAGATATTCGCAGTCAGCAGTTATACATGATTTCAGAGAAAATTTCCAGATGTTTTTATTTAATTTGATGCTAATGGACTTTCCCTAATAGTTAACAAGTCAATTCACGCATTTGTAACTCACTCGATATCAAACAAATCGTTTTTGTATTACATATGATAGGTATTCAAATATATCATATCATTACATTACCAATGGTTACAGTTGAAAGACAGTTTTCTACACCTTTTTGTGGACTACATAATACATTGATTTATTGTTCAATGCTATTGCTTTGGGTCTAATTGTTTGCTGGTAACAGGTAACATTTAAGTTCTGTGGCCACCAATCAATGTATGAATATGTATAATGTACTCCAGCATGTAAAGAACAATTTATAAAACCATTATATGGCCTTATGAGGGTCATCTGTCTGATCTGGCACAAACCAAAACTCGTTTTCACTATCCTGCCTCTTGAGTCTGTTGAGTTTGGAGTGGTTCTTGTTTTAATAGAGATTAAGTATCCTCTTAAATACTTTATTTGGGCCAACTGAGATGCTAAATATGAAGAGAGTGCAAACAGTCCTCAAGCTTGTAAAAGCACATAGATCACCTGATGTGCATGATTCAACCCGTAATGTCAAACCTTCAGGGACAGTTGCACTGAGAGGGTCCATCAGGCTGCACAAAGAGCTGCATGGAACTTGCCTGACCTTAGTCAAACCAGACGACACCTCAACACCTAGATTTACCAGATCACGCCTAGATGAATCTACGGCTGACGAGAGGAGCACATAGGGATAAGTGAAGCCCAGTTTTAACCTTAAGAATTAGATACAGTCGGGGTGACGGTTTAGTTTAGTCAGTAGAGCAGGTGCTCCAAATGCAGAGGCCACAGTCCTGGACACATCTGCCACAGGCTTGACTCCCACTCTTGGCCTTCTGGTGAATGTCTACCCCACTCTCTCCTCCCTACATTTTACTGTCTCTCTTTAGCTGTAACAGGCAAAAAAAATCATTAAAAATATTGATACATTGGTCTGTAAGCTTTGATTTCATCTGCCCGTATAAATAAAAGTCCTTGTGACTTGTCAATTTGAAACCCAACTTTATGACTACACAGACAGTACATGCTGACAATGACTTTAAACATACAGACATACATACAGACACCTAATGAAGTATCAACAACACCACTTGCACATCCAAGTTCATTATCAACTGTATCTGTTCCTTAAAGAGACATGAAAGTTTAACAGAGTGACCCTGAGGGGAAATTGAAGAATAGAAGTGTCTCGTTAGGAAAGGGACATCTCATCATAAAACAAATTCTGAGTATAAAGAGCTGGAGCAATGTTTCACAACCGGTTAAACCAAATTAGATAACAGTCTTGGCAGCTACATAACCCCAGCTACATTCATGTAAATCAGGCTTCTGGTCGGAGCTTGGTCATCATTTATGCCCTATGATGGTTGTCCACATCCATTTTTTTATCAATGCAACGATATGATAGTGAAGACAAACATCTGCACCAATACTGACCTTTCTTAGAGTTTGAACATGGGCTATCATGTCATATGTGATTCATATTAAATGTTATTTATTTTATCTGTCAATCTGCAGATTCCTAGAATAATGTATCAGATTTGGAATAGAAAGAAAGGTTCCATCAGCAACCTAGTATCTGAGTTTTTAATCACCATCCCAGATATTTTAAAGGGGGAAAAGAAACAGTTTTAATAACGCTTATGAATATACGGTCTGTGCTTTAAGTCTCTACAGTTAGGGCACATGTTAATGAATTTGACAATGATTAGTTATTGTTGCATAACTTTTATTAAAAACAAAGTCATAACAGTAATCCTGCTCTAATTTAGTCTTTGGAATATGATATTTTATACTGATTTATAATAACCTAGTAGAGAGACAAACATAGATGTGGAGCTGCTGCACATATTAACACAGGCAGAATTTTCCTTTTGTACCTTTAAGCTCTTGTATTTTATTTTCTTGTGGGAACAAATGTCCTTAAACTTAAATGAAATAGATAACTCACGTTTATTTGTGTGCAGCAGTGATTTAATGGTGTCTTTACGCTTTGATTTGTTTCATCATGTTCCCATAGAAACGGGTGCCTGGGTGGTGATTGGCTATTTGTTCTGAAAAATGTGTGTGTGATAACTCTGGTTCTTTACAGCGGGAGAAACTCAACAAGAAACAATACCCTGCAACTTTTCTGGAGCTCGTGTATGGCCGACATTGTGCCATTGTGCCTGTTTTTTCTCGTCCTTTGTGTTTTATTTACAACACTCACTGTACCTCTCATCCTACATTACCCAGATTCACCGAGAGTCGGCTCCGCTTTCATTGGCTTGTCTCCACTTTCCCTTGAAATCTCCGTCTGGTGGGATCTGCTGCGCACAAAGAGCGCGGAGCCAATCACATACACGCTCTGATAAACCCCAGCCAATGTGAGCGAGCCTCTCATTTACATAGAGCTGCTTGGAGCCAATCAGGAGTCAGCACATGAGAGGATCTTGACCTCTCTACCCAATGGTTGTGCGAGGTATAGAGTTTTGGGGAGTGCATATAATCAACATATTATCGAAGGTGCTTAGATATTGATCCTGTATTTCGAGGTAGTTCAAATTCGTCTCTCTTGGACCTTCGTGTTTGACCTTACATTTCCCGTGCTCGGTGGAGAATAATTCACGCGCGAAATGCCGAAGAGAAAGGTGAGTGTCGTTTGTGCCATCAGGATCACTTCAGTGTAGTTTTTCTGCGTTAGCATTTGAGGAAAATAGCGGTGCGCGATTTCTTTGGCGACGTCGAGGCAGGTGAGCTGGTGCCAAACTTTGAGGAAGTGTCTCCTCGTCCGCAACATTTTAGATGTATTTCCCTCGTCTGTGCGTGTATAGGACACATTTATTGGGAAATATTATTCTTTAAACACTGTAAATGTCCATGTGTTCACGTCAATGGCCGTTCCTGTGGTCGTTTTATCTGCCACTTCCCTGTCCACTCTGCGCACCACTGGTGAATGTCAGACGGAGCCGCCGGATGGATGGATGCGTAAATCCCGTAGGAGACGTGCGTGATGATATTTTTTTTTCTGGGCGCGTTTCACGCATGAATCAGGTGTTATTGATTCCCAATAATATGTAATTCAACGGTGGAAAAACATCAGCGTCCATTCAAATGTTTCTATTCGCCGGTGAAGAGTGGTAGCTGCTATCCACCCGCCACCCAAAAGGAGAGAAATGAATAAAGAAAGAGGGGATCAGAGACAATTGCTGTGTGTAAAAAGAGAACGTGACACTCTCTAAAAAGCATCGCACGACGAGCTCACGTGCATTGTATCAGTGAATACATGGAAATGGGCTTTTCTACCATCCAAAAACTGCCATTGTCTGCGGAGATTCGCCTTTGAGGACAGAGAATGGGAGGCCTCTAGGGGCGGAGGTCGCCCACATGCAAATGATGCGATAACCAACCTGCGGGCTAAACCAACATTTTTTTTGCACGGTGGGGGCGGACTCTCCTGCACGCTGTCCTAACCTACCTGCAGCCTGAGCAGAGCGAGCCCATGATGTATGCATCTAAATGTAGGCTGACAGCCCTCACTCTGTGTTATTGTCTAAGCCATGTTTACATTATTCTAGGGGGCTTCATCATGGCATGTCAACAAGATGACTCTATTAACATGGTAATTACCATGGAGATGTCATTATTAGATCATCTTTTTTTTTAAATGCAATTGGTGCACATATGCAACCATGAGAAATATTGCACCTAGATTAAAATTGTGATTTATTTATTTAAGAGTGTTTAGTCAGTTGTATTACTTTATGCAAAATAAAAATAAAATTTGTTTAAGATAAGATAAACTTTATTGATCCCCATTGGAGGAAATGTAGTTGTTACAACAGCTCAAAAAAAGTAGAATCCGCAAAAATAGCGTGAAGTTAAAAACAAACATATTAACATTAATTAAATATAAGAAGAAAGATAGAATAGTAATAAAAAATACTAGAAATATAAGAAAGATACAATAGTTATAAAAAAAATCTATATACTCTTCAGCCTTGAATGTTCATTTTTATGAATTAATTGTATGCACAAGATCAAAAGTAAATGTATAGCAAAGGGTTGTTACTGTTATACTGATTAGTAACTTAATTATAAATAAAACTAGCATAAACAAGAAGGTCAAGCCAATTGATTTTTTTTGTTTAAAACATAGATAAATATATTCTAAAATAGTTGCTTAGAATTGTAATTGGTTAATACAATTCTCCAGTCAGTTGCCTCCTAAACAGCCGCTTTCAGCTTTCAGCATTATTAGAGGCACATCTGTCAACAGTGATTAGGTTAATAAGAAAATGAGCCACAAATACAAAGCTTTGTCAGTTTTTTAACTTTCGACCAATTTTAGAGCTATACTGCTTAATGATTTGAATCTTTATCTTTATTACTCATCCTGGCTCCCAATACAGAAAGGATGAAGTGGTCACTCATAGATGAGAGTAAACTTTAGTGATACAAATCAATTTTTGTGAGCCTATATAAAAATGAATATCTATTGGTGGTGGTTGATAAAATGACCATAAAACATTTTTATTCATAAATTCTGAGGCCAAATGTTGCGCACCTGAGAACACTTGGACTGTTAACAATTTCTTCACTCATGTTTCCTGCAGTCTGCAGATGGTCCCGAGGGCAAGGAAGCCTCCAAAGTCACAAAACAATTGGTAAATATTTGGTGTGTTGGTGGATTGTGTGTGGTTGTGCAGTGTTTCCAACAATAAAGTGTGTTTGAGTGAGTGAGAATTAACACGACAGGTAACTGATTAGGAAAGTTGCAGTCACACAGCAGATTGCTAGAACAGCCAAAGGTACAACTGATATCTCTCTCTCTCTCTCTCTCTCTCTCTCTCTCTCTCTCTCTCTGTCACTGTCTACCTCTCTCTCTCTCTCTCTCATTGATCATCCCTTGCTCCGGTAGCCCACCAGAAAGTCGGCGAGATTGTCAGCGGTAAGTGTCGTTCTCCCGTCCCTGTCTTCACCTCTGACTGTCTTCTCCCTAAATTCGCCCTCGTCCTACCTCATTCTTATGGGATAGTTAGGCTCTGTGTAAAATCCTCACATGGTTTTTGGAATTGATTTAAGGATATACACAAATTCCATAAACATGTGATCAGGGTATTGTGTCTAGCTTCATCTGCATGTCTTTTCTCTGTTGTCTTTGTCCATTCTTTGTGTGGTTTGTTACACCATGTGGCTGTGCGGGGTTGCATGAACTAAAGGATAAAACTACATTTTAATATTCCAACCATGGACAAGTTTAGAAAATGGCTTCATCAATAACAATAAGGAACTTTTTTTCTAATAAAATTACCTACAAAAGTTTAAAAACACACAACAGTAAACAAAATAATTTAAATTTAAAGTGCTCAAAAATGTTCCCCAAATCCCAATGATATTAACATGGATCACCATGATGATATTATCCATAGAAAACTATCATGTGTGATCATGCAGCTCTGCCAAACAACCCATGTGTATTTATCTGTTTTGTTCTATGCATGTGAAACAGTCTGTGTTAAATCTTTGCATGTGTTTGTATGTATGCATGTGCACTTACAATGAAAAGTTTAACATTTTTGGAAATATACTCTCTATCAAGGCTTAGGACATGGATACCACTTTCATGTCTGTATGTTAGCACTAAATTAGCTCAGTTTAGCCTAAAATCCATACTTAAACTGAAAACACACCTACCAGCGCCTGTAATCCAGTAATTAACACATTTATTATGTGGGGAAGTATGCACATTTAAAAAAGAAATGTGCTGTCTCCCCACATTTTTTTCTTTTTAGCTAAGCTAAGCTGTATTTTAACTGACAGACATGAGAGTGGTTAGAGGAAAAGAGAGAACTAGCTTATTATTACAAAATGTCAACCTGCCCCTTTAAGCTATTAGTCTTTTCAGAAAAGCAGAATTTCAACATGCCAGCGTACACTTTTCCACATTTCTGATTTGATTTGTCATTTTCTTTCAGCGCTATCAACTTATCTCATAAGATGTGGCCTTTTTGAGCTGTAAACCAGAACTGCTATGTCATTTAGACTCCTATTCAGACAGTTTGACAAACTCTTAGAAGGTGTGGGTGTTCCCCATGTGTAGTTGTGTACTGTTAAGCTCCTGTGCAAGAAGGCTTTATGTCCTTTATTTATTGCCTCATGTGCATGTGAATCACATTATTTAATTTTGTCACAGCAGTGTATATGTGGCGGCATCACGGTAACATGGTGCACACTTTGCAGCCTGAAAAAAAGCTCTGCAGTGAACCTGCTCACAGCCTGAATGGCCAGAGTTTTAAGTCCAATCTAATATAGACATTATAGAATGGTCTGAGGTCAGTTCACTTTAAGAGGAGGCAGATATTTAAAACTACTCAGCACAGGGTCAGATCCTATTGCTTACAGAGTGATGTACACGTTGTTTAAAAGAATTATTAATACTTACAGCGGGAGCAATGGCATTACCCATTTCTTGTGGCTAATGCAAAAGTTATTTAACAGTACAGAAATGTCTCTACACTATGTAAGTGTAGAGAGGAGTAGAAACTAATATCAACTCATATTTTTCCAGTCTACCATGACAGTGTGGTTGGCCATCCTAACTGATTTCTGCTTAATTTTCAGAAGCCTGCTCCACCCAAGCCTGAGGCCAAGCCCAAGAAGGCCATCGTCAAGGTGAAGTACACACACACACACACACACACAAAGTTTCCAAGGTTACAAAATTTAGACAACAATGCAATACTTTATTAGGGTTTGTTTTGAATTTGAAAGTACTGTAATATTATTTTAGGAATACTAAGATAAGATTCTTACTTCCCTACAGCTAGACCGGTATTACATTTTATAAATATTTTTAATTACTTACTTAAATTGCAGATGGCTCTTGCTGCTATAATGCAGCTGGAATTTGGGAATGTTTGGAATGCATGAGAATGTTAAAATATGGTATCACATGACTTTGGTCAACATATACATCTTATATACATTATTTATTTTGAAAATGCAAAAAACGACAAGCCTTATATGTCCTACTATTTAGGGTTGGGTTGTTTAAAAAATATGTAAATTATCCTTATTTATTCCTAAAATCTATTCAAAATGTCAATAGGATAGTAAAAATGTTGCGATTACAACCAAATGAAGCCAAAATATCCTCCATAACGGACTCTGACATATTGTTATGGTAACGTCATTTGGAGCCAGGACATGCGCAGAATGTCCCGCCCCTTCCACTATTCAAAAAACACATTAACTTACTGATGAAAGGTCAAAGATCAAAGGTTGTTACCTATAATGCAACCAGTCAGTATGGGGAGCTCCAAATGTTTTGACTTCCCTTTCGGTGAACAGTTGTGCTATGTATTATGTATTTTTTTAACCGTCTATGGCTGTTACCTGTATGTCAGCCAGCTCGTTGCATCGTTACAATGAGAAATCCATTCTACTATCGTCCTCGCAGTTTGGTTAGTTAGAGTTTAAATAAGCACAAAACAGAACAAAACACAATTGTTGTTATAAAAATAACCTTTATTTCTGCCATTTACAATTTTAGTTCCCAACCCTACTTATATGTACTTTCTTCAATGCAGAAGGTCGCAGACGATAAGGGGGCTAAGGCAAAGAAAGGCGGAGCTAAGGGGAAGAAGGAAGACGGCCCCGCCCAGAACGGAGACACCAAGACCAATGAGGTATGAGGAAGAAAAACATGTTGCTGAAAGGAGAAAAAAATCACTTACACAAACAACAACTAAATATTCTTTTTCCCCCTATTTTGTCACTTTGTGCGTGAACATAACCACATTTAATCTTTGATCCTCCACACTGCTTCCAATCTCACACACACACACACACACACACAGATCTATGTGTCTCGTCCGTCTGTCAGGGTGTCCTCCAACAGAAGCACTGCTCCCTCCTTGATGTCAGTGAGAGGGCAGAGTGAGACAGTCAGAGTTAAGGGTACGGTCGAGTGTGTCTAATCCGTCTTTGAAGTGTGTGTGTGTGTTTGAACACTAACTCAGTATTACTTAAACAGAACGTGTGTGTTAATCAAGCAAACATTTACCCAGTGTGCTTTGCAGTGCTGTGGTGTCTCAAACAGAGAATGAGTCTTTAATGAGGTAGAGGGTGAAGAAGAGACGTGAGATCGTCTGTATTTTTCTGTGTCCGTGTGCAGTGAAGTGGGCCAAGGACAACTTTTGACACATGGAGGTCTTGCTGCTCTCACTGGGATGTGAAATGTGGTTGGCTGCTCTGTTCTTAGACAGCTGGCTCCACCAGTGGTCAGGCAGAGGAAATGTAGACAGATGTTCACTCCAGTGAGATCACACCATCCAGATTTCATTTCCTTGTCCAGCTCATGCTGATTCCTGCAGATACCAGAGGAGGGGTTCTGTTCAAGTTAGTTAAAACTGCTTGCTAGAGAGGAACTTATAACAATTATAAAATTTGATAGATATAGACAGAGTAAATTATTAACCCCCAAAGAAAATAGGACAATATTTTAGTCTTAATTTGAGAGATTTTAGGCACAGGAACACATCTCTTCACTCACCAGCCCTGAGCTCACCTTGGTTTGTAAATCCTAAATTAAAGGGTTAGTTCACCAAATCACCAAAAGACATGCAATCCCAATACAATAAGGGTGAAAGTGTAATTTCCCAAAAGTAAGCGGTTTCCTGTTTACGGCCTTGTCTGATGCTTAAACTGCATGGGTGACAGGCATGTAAAAGAACTGTACAGAAATAATCAATCTTCTGTTCTGGTTTGCTTTAGTTGGTCACATAGAGGCATCTGTATTCATGTCAGTCTGTTTCTTAACCAACTACAAACTCCACACAGGAGCTTTGGTAACCTTAGGACTTTACTACTTTTTCCCTTCAGAAATAGCCCCAACAACTACTGACTTTAACGTTAAGAGATGTAAAACATCAAACGGCAGCTCGTAAAACTAAAACTATTCTCTACCAAACGCTGTATGATGACATCCAGTCATGTCTCTCTAATGGGTGCATTGTATCTTCAGGAAAGTGATCCTGATAAAGAAATTATACTTTATTACTTCATCTCTTCTCTCAATACACTTTGGAAAATAAAAAGGCAAAAGCAATTTCTGAGTCAAACTTGGAGGAATAAACATCAGGATATGCTTTAAACTGTAACATGGAGTGCAAATGAGGCTTATGAAACTATGGCTAGGAGGTTTCATAGCCTAGCACAAAGGCTGAAAAGTTTTGCTAGATCTAAGGTTTTTCTACATTTTAAACAAACAGGATACTACTTTTGAAAAGAGAGTGTTGGACCTGGTTGGGAGAGCTTTTAGCCTTTAAGCGGAGCAGCACGATCTGCTTTACTTTATTACTTGTCTTTGTGCTAAGCTAAGCTAACAACTCCCCGCTTCATGTTGCATTTACAGACCTGAGGTATCCACCTTTTAATGGCAAGAAAGTGAACAAAGGAATAAAAAAAGCTCCTTTTACCCGTAAGTATGATTCCGAATGTGTTCAGAGAAGAGTAAAGATTAACATGTAACATCTTTTAAACAGCTGCTGTTGTGAGTCTTGTTCAGAGAGGCAGACTGATCGAGGTAGACTAGTTTGTTCTTTATAAGTCAATCTAAGAACCCATTGGTAATCACTGGAAAACATATGCCTCTTGGAGCTGCAGACAACATTCAAGGTCTCCTAGTGAAGCCAGCGTTTAGCAATGTTTTTCCTTTGTTTACTGTCTAGCTAGCATCCTGAGAAGTGAGAATGGAGTTGGTGTCTAGAGGCAGATTGTTAGCTGCACCGAATGCAGATATCTGTTTGAAAACATTAATTAAAGCTCCTGTGAGAAGTTTTTAGCTGGTTAAGAAACAGACTGAGATAAATATTGATGCCTCTCTATGATCCACTTAAGCTAACAAGACCATCAGCGAGTAGATTGAAAATGTCTATAGTGTTATTTTTAATGCCTGTAACTGATGCCTGTGGGTAGGTGCCAGATTAAGTGAGTTACAGAACACTTCTGAAACAGCCTTTGTTGACATTTCCCACTGCAAAGATCTACTGTGAGTTATGACTGACTTTGAAAAGAAAGAAGGATGAGGTGTTTTGTTTAAAAATACTTGAAACAGGTGTACTGGATGAACAATTAGACCAGATTTACCACTTTATCCACAGGGGGCGTCAGATTGATGCAAACCAAAGTTACTCACTGGAGCTTTAAAACTAAATACTTGTAAGGTAACTACAGATGGGTTCCAGGATTGCACTATGGTGGATTGTGTCCTGCTCCTTTTGCTCTGAACATGGACCCTTTTTCAGCATTCACCCAATGCCTGATGAAACAGTGGAGAATATTTCTCATAATGTGAATGGAAACAAGAGGACTTCCAATACCAAATCCTGCCATTAAAGAGTGCCATTTTATGTGTTAATAGATTAGTTAAGTAAACCCTTTGGAAACAAGAGAATAGGCTGATGCTAAGTTTTTTCTGGGCTTTTTATGCCTTTATCTAGAGATAGGACAGGAGTGAGAGAGTGGGGAAATGAGCCGCAGGTCGGATTGGAACCCGGGCCGTCCGCTTGGAGGACTACAGACTCTGCACACGGGATGGGCTCACTGACCATTATGTTACCGGCGCCCGGCTGGTGCAAAGTTTTTCAAACACCTCAGTAAATGTGCTTCTCTGAACAGACCCATTAAACTGAAAAGGCATCAAATTGAGCGGCACATTTATCCAGGTCATGATGAACTCATTTTGATAATGCAGTAGATCCTCAATCACCTTTTTAGCTGCTTCAAGCTGATTAAGTTTCATGCAGAATTTTATTTAGACTCACTAAGGACCTCAGGAAAAGAAATTGTGGGGTGTCTTTTTGTGGTTTGTTGATGCCAGTTCGTGTTAAATCTACCTGTAGAGCAAATGATTGCTAACACCAGATTCTTTTGCATAACTCTTCTTCCCCTCCAGGTAACTGAGGCGGCGGATGAGGCCACTGAGGAGAAGGCGTAAAAACACGGGCGTGTCCACTGGCTCGCCCCCTCTGACTCCATGGCAGCAAAACATCTTTTTTTACTGACGATTTTTGTACCATGCTGAATTTTTTTTAGACTTGTGATAGTAGAGACGGACAACCAGCAGCCCCATCCCCACTTGTTCACACTTTACAAAACTCTACCTACACTATGTTTTTGCTCCATTCTCCTCCCAACTCTTTCGGATATCACAATACACTTCAATGAATTGTTTCAATCAGGTGGTTGCAGATGTTCTCGTAAACACGACTGTTACGATCTTTCAGCCAGCTTTGCCAATATTTCTAGTCTCTACAAATGGCTACTTTTATAATTGGCATGCTGACTGGCTCCCACCCTGATATCTAAGGTGGATTTGTATCAACAGTTTAACAGCAGACCAACATGAAATCAGATGAAAATCTTCATGGAGAACATCTGCAGCTTTTTAAAAGACATCTTAGGTTTTAGAATCTCAACCTCTGTGTTCCACATAGCTCATTTTGTATGTGTGTGCTAGAATGAATGTGTTTGTGGGTCTCTGTTTGACCTTATTCCCTCATATTCCTTTTATCCCCCCCACCCACCACCCTTCACCTGACCACCTCGTCCTGCAGCAGAGTGACATAGCAATAATGAGTGGTGCTTCTGTTCTAGACGGCTCTATTGGCTTTGGACCCTCTGGGCTTCTGAGTTTCATCCTGTTGGAAGAATATTTTGAAATAAAATAAAAAGTTGATTTCATGTGGTGGTCTGTTTTCCTGTGCCTCTCTGTCTCTCTCTATTGCGTGTGTGTATAAACCCACAGTTTGGATCATAAGGATATTATGCATTGCATGTATAGTTTCTCTTGAACTGTAGTGCCACCTTTTTTTTCATACAACACTTGTATAGCTTGGTAGCCGTTTTTTGTAGTTTGTGTTTGAGAGCACCTGTTCATGTTCAGAGTCACTTTTCAAAGCAACACAAAGCCAACACACTGAATATCTTTGTGTGAGCATGCGTTTGTGAGGTCGTCAGGGGTACGTGGCTGTGTTAAATACAACTGCTGCGTCAGGAAGTGAAAGGTCAGCATTTGTCCGAGTAGTGGGACGGATGAAACTGCACGGTCCCCTCATTGAGGGACAGGCTGCCAATCACACACGTGGACCAATGATGAAAACTAGTTGACTTTCCTTTTTTTAGCTCAGAGGTGTGGCATGATGATGTGTGTACACAAAAACTGAGAAGGCCAATCAAAAGTGTTTAATCAAGAGAATAGGTTAAAAATACAGTGTCTTTGGTATAGCCTAATGTAAAAGCAGACATAGGAACATAAGCAACAGTGCAGATAAACTTGAACAATCTTGTTTTCTAATTGGAATTGAGAATGATTGGACATTTTGCTCAATTGATTCCCAACCTAGGGTTCATGCCTGTTCATTAACTCATATTTCAAAGCACTGAATCCAGAGTTCAGCTGCACATTCAGGCACAATATTGAAATAGACCTCTGAAGCTACGAGAACACAATGTTAAGGTTTATGATAAAAAGGTTAAACCCATCAAAGCTTTAGACATAAGCAACAGCAGTGGCATTGTTCAAATCTAAAATAATGAAATCTCCTATACCCTGATGCATTTCAATGTAACGAGTTATTGCAAAAGCTTTCAGAAGCAATTAGGTCTGCAGTGTGCAGTTTATCTGTCAAATTTAAAAGGGCCTTATCAATAGGAAATACAGTTGCTTTAGAACTTTGAGAAACCTTTGTTTCTCTGTTGCAAACAGTCACAGATGTTTGTTTACTGACTGAATGTGTCATCTAGGATAAGATAAGCATCCATTCAGGAGTTAAATTCAGGCAATGCAGCAGCATAAGGGCATAAATATATAAGTAAAATGTGGAAAGTTCAAATAAGTTATTAGTATAAAAGCAAGTAAATAAAATAGGAAAAAGAGTAGAAATAAAAAGCAGGACCTGTACGAGAGCAATTCAACTCTAAATTTCAGAATAGGCAGCACACACAAACCAGTTTTCATTTTAGTCAATAGTCCATATCATACCAAACAAAGTGACACAACAGACATTGTTTAATACAGAATAATTGTGTGTAAGTATAAAGTATGTTTCAGGCAGAATCAGCACAGTCTGGTTAACTTTTTCGTCTGGTCACGATATTGAATTTCTGTTCCTGTCACGTGAAAACTGAAATGTGTAAACTGACACATTTTCCTCATTATTCATAACCTTTGACTCCTGTGTGCCCCTGTGTACACATAAGTGCTGCAGAGTGAGGATGCCTCCTTGTGGCCAGGTTGGCCAGCACAAAAACAACTTCACTTGAGGGGTCACGCTTAGAAAACTAACATGTATGTGGCTAACAAGGTCTAAAATAAAAAAATCTGTCTTACCCAATGCAACAGTCTGTTTCTGAGGAATAGTGTGTTAAAGTTTGTTTGAAATATTGCATCTGGTGGTTGAAGAGAACTTCCTTCTAAAGATTGACAAATCTGAGGCTGCACTAACGTCCAATCTGTTGCTGGGTTTCAACGTTCTGCTTTTTTTTCTTTTGCAGCAACTATGAAAATATGAAATATGGTCATAAATCAGATATCCTTTTAACGTCAATCACACAAGCTTAAATTAAAGTTCTGATAAAGTGCTTGTCATACTGCAATTCTTGTGATTATACTCTTGTTTAAAATCCATGGGAATAAGTAACAAACACATCACAACCTGACATTGAACATTTCACATATATATCCTTACTCTATGATGGAAGGTTAACATACATATATGGTGTTCAAAAAGGCCAATAATGACAGAATACTTACAGCACTAAACAAAGTAAAGGCCTAAAGAAAGGTGATGCAGTTGCTTTATGCTCACATTCTCATTTTCTTTCCCGTGTGGTACTGTGTCTGTATTAATCGTGGTTCTCACTGCTAAAGGTGCTATAGGAAAATAATAAAACACGACAAAAAACATCACTCAACAGGATCAGGGGAACATGCATGTGCAGACTCCAAAAGTGTCTGTTTTCTTTTCAAATGACCAGATCCATAAAGCCGATTAATTATGATATGGCCATGAATTTAAGTTTGGATATTACATTTTTCAGGAGATGATATCCACATTATTATCTCTTACAAATAAACTAAATTCGATATTTTTTTATAAATGAGAAGAAGCTTGAGAAACTGTGTCTCAAAGAGGACTCATATTTTGTAGTTTTTTTTTAGAAAATAAACAGCCCAAGTGGAGAATTAATCTGTCATCTGCTCAAGTTTTTATCTCATCATTACCCAGCAACAAAGTTGTCTGTTCCCTGAAGTCTCTGCCAGGGCTTCAAGTCAAACATGTGCTTTATAAATAGAAAGTGGCTTCTATACCAGAGCTTGTGGGGTTTTTTTTAAACAAACTTTATTGAACAGAATATTGTTTTGCTTTATTTTTTAATTATAAAATTATTGGAATAACTAATTTTTCAGGTTGCTCACATTGTATAAGCACCAGCACACCATCTCAGGATTTAGAGGTGAAGAGAAACTTAGGAAGGGAAATAAATGTAAAAACACTGAAGTTATGCTGATGTTGTTTCAGTGGTGTTTGAATGGGGCTACTATGTTATATCTAGCACATTATTAGTTTTAGCAGTGTCTGTGGGTCTCAAGTAATTTCTCATATCTCATTAAGAGACTGTGGTAGCCTATTAAACAAAATATGAGGCTAAATGACAACATAAGATGTAGACTACATCAATGGCTTACCTTCAATAACAGAAGTAGGAAACAATTCACAGGGTCAGTCTAAAAATGGGAGCTTGTTTTTTTGTTGGCAAACTGCAAACTCAAGATATAAAATAGCCTAGATCATTTACACAAATAATGGACTCATGTTTTATTTGGAAAGGAACCCCTTAGTTTGAGGCTTTCTCCCACATTTGTCTGTAGCAGCACATGAGGAAGTGTTTACTCATACATTTCTTTGATTACTGTCCTTGATGAGCTATCTTTCATTAATGTCTAATTGCCATTAAATTCCTGTAACTCACGAGGTTTCATTCATTAAGCTGCTCTCCCCTTCTTCTCCAACCCTTCCCCCATTTTACTGCCTGGCAGTATTTGGAAGAGAAATGGACGACTTCCCCACCAAACAGCTCTCATAGAGAGTGGGTGTGATAGCCAGACATCTTGTTACTCAATAACGACAGCGTGATAACAAGCGAGGCCAAGTAAACACAAATGACTTAAAAAAGAGAGCTGAAATATAAAAATGACACCTCGAGGAAAAAAAAAAAACATTACAGCGGTTAAACACGGGCGCCATATTCTACATAGATCCAGCTAAGAATAGAGAAAAATATCACAGAAATTGCGTTAAATGGATCTACAACTAATTTTTAAATGCACGGTTATTTTCTTGTTAGGTCTATAATCACGCAAATGTGAGTAAACTACGAAGAACTAGCGATTCTGCAGCAGTGTTTCCTCTCCTATCGCAGGCTGCCATTTCTACCTCCCCTCTTCTATGGCGTGCATGCAACGTATTCTTCCGCAGAGGGCTTGCGCTTTTTCTTTTGAGGGGGAAGGGGGTTTAGAGAAACGTGCTTCTATAGCCGAGAAACCGTCGCTTAAATTCACCCCGCGGTGTATTCGGTGCTTGGATGTGTTTACGGTCATTTATTTGCAAAGGGAAGGCTGTGTTTTACTTGGTAAACATTACAGCGTGCACTAGCTGCCGCTTTGCGGAGGGATACTCGACGCAGCCGGGACTTCGTGAGAGCAGAGCTGAATGGAGGCAGCCTCTTCCTGGTGGATAAACAGTGACAGCTACAGGGCAGCCACCTAGACCCAGCACACAGGCTCTGCGCTGCCCTGGCAAACAACACCAAAATGGCTTCAGACAGTACACACATCGCGCAGTTGACTTCTGGTGAGTAGAGGAGATCGGAAAATATGTCATGGTT